GGAGGTCAGAAAAGGGCTTCGGATTCCCCTGGAACTGGAGTTAAGGACCGTCTGTAGCTGCCATGTGGGTGCTGGGAATTGAATTCGGGTCCTCTGCAAGAGCAGTCAGTGCTCTTAACTGCTGAGCCATCTCTCCAGCCCCTCATGTTTATTTGCTTTTGTGCCTTGTAGCTGAGGGTGGCTTTGACCTTGTGAACTCTTGTGATCCTTTGCCTCAGTCTCTGAGTGCAGGGACTTCAGGTTCCTGTCTTTTTTCTCTTTCTGTGGCTTTCTGCACTGTGAAATCACCTCTCTGAAGGAAGTTGGAGACCAGAAGCAGGGTCACAGCAATTGTCTCTCTGTGGCTTCTCTGATAAGAGGTTGTGTTCTGGGAATAGGCTGGCTCTCTGGCAAGTGTGGACAGTGGAGGTATAGACCTACCTCTGCTCTCCCCTGTTCATCAGCATGTAATTGGAACAATGACAGCATTAAAAATGAACTCAGTTCTTCAGCCTTTCACTGGGAGATTCTCAGATGTTCGGGCTTATCAGAATACCAGGTGGGCTGGCAGGAACAGATTGCTGGGCCCAGGGGATGCTGTGTTAGCTGATGGGGGAGGACCCCACCCTGAGCTGCTCCCCTCTTAGATGCCTGCTGAGTCAGTGCCCTTCCCACTTGCTGAGAGTCATCTGAGGAGCTCTGAAAACATTGCAGACCAGCTAATTAGGCACACTTAGGGGCTTAATTAACTTAATGGTCCCTCTGCAGGTGGCTGGGCCTGCAACCCAGTGGGTCTTTGCTCTGTTGTGTGGTGTCACTGTGGGTGTCCTCTGAGCAGCTGCTGGCAGGCACACTGAGGAGCCGGGGTAGAACCTTCTGGGTTTAGATGCCTCTAACACAGCTGCTCTTGCTGACAGTGCTGGCTGCCAGGGTGGAGCGGGGGTGCTGAAGAGGAGGCCTGTCTCTGGGTACTTTGACCTGGTCCCCTTGGGAGAGCAGTAAAGGGGCCTGAAGCCGACCTGTCCATATTAACCTCTGTGGGAGGTAGGAAAGGGCTGCCCATGATTGGCTGTGGAATCTCTGCACAGGCCTGTTGGCTCTTTCAGCCAGGGCTTTCCCAGCAGCACAGACATTTACAGGAGGATGTAGACCTTGCAGTATCTTGATTTCCCCTCTACAAGGCAACTTCCTATGTATGTGTTGGGGTGTGTGTGGTGAGAGGCTCTTTTTGTGTAGTGGGGAACCCCTGACAGGGCAGTTAGAACCTTGCCTATTTCAGGCCATGCTTTTGAGTTTTCGGGTGTTTCTTGATGTTGAGACTGTTTTTGATGTGACCATCTCTTCCTAGATGTGGGTGGTGTTTTGATGGACTACCTCTTTGGCTGCAGGTGCTGGGAGGTTTGGCATTGTCCAAAGTGGAGGGCTCCCATCTTTTGAATGGTCTCTCATGACTTGTTCCTTCCACTTTCAGGGTGTCCTGGACCGGTTTTCTCAAATTCAGCCGAAGCTTATCTTTTCTGTGGAGGCTGTTGTCTACAACGGCAAGGAGCACAGTCACCTGGAGAAGTTGCAGCGAGTTGTGAAAGGTACTCAGGGTCCTGCCCCAGGGGTGTGTGTGTACACATAGGCAGGTGTCCTCAGGAGTCCTCAGTTTATTCGTGTATGTGTGTGTGTGTGTGTGTGTGTGTGTGTGTGTGTGAGTGTGTGAGTGTGTGTGTAGAGAGAGGGGTCTCCCCAGGAGTTCTGTAGTTCTGTGTGTATGCATGGGCCCTCCCTAGGAATTCTGGGTGTGTGTGCATGTGTGCACATGTGTAAGGAGAGGCTTTCCTTAGGAGTTCTGGTTGTATGTACATGTGTGCCTGGGTACAGAGTGGTCTCCCCAGGAGTCCTGTGCGCTACACCCCACACTTGCCCCCAGATTGTGCTGCATTTGTGCCGAGGCCCCATCTGAGTCTGACCTTGTCCCTGTCCCTCCTTTCAGGGCTGCCTGACCTGCAGAGAGTGGTGCTCATCCCCTATGTCATCCCTAAGGAGAAGATAGACATTTCCAAGATCCCAAACAGGTGAGGAGCCAACAGGTGAGGAGCCACCACTCTCCTGGGTGGGGCTGTGGGGAGCCTTCAACTAGACTTGGTCCTTGTGTGTCCGAGGTTGGGGAGCTACTAGCTACACTCATAATGGGAGGGCATGGGAGGCCCTCATAACAAGTTTCCCCAAGCCATGCAGCAAATAAACAGCAGGACAGGAAGAAGCAGAGCTGTCACTCTCTGCCCATCCTGTGCTGTGGAGGGCCAGGATAGCACCAGGCCTGGTTTCCTGTACTGGCAGGAACAGATTGGTATTGTATAGCTCATGTGTATATCTCTTAGTTTGTTTCTCATTGCTGTGACAAAATACTCTGACCAATATCAACTTGGGGAGGAAAGGGTTTATTCAGTTTACATCTCCCATGTCACAGTTCATCACGGAGCCCAAGGTAGGAACTCAGGGCAGGAACCTGGAAGCAGGAGCTGGAGCACAGGCCATGGAGAAACGCTGCTTACTGGCTTGCTCCCCTGCTCAGCCTGCTTTCTTATGCAACACAGGCCCACCCGCCCCGGGGGGGCACCACCCACAGTGAGCTGGGCCCTCCCACATCACTCATCAGGAAGATGCCCCTCAGACATGGCCATAGGCCAGTCCAATAGAGGCAATTCCCCAATTGAGGCTCCCTCAATCCAGGTGTGTCAAGTTGACACTAAAGCTATCCAGCACAGCATAGGTGTGCTCACATGTGTCACCAGTGTGGTACACTCAGGCATGTGCATTTTTCTTGCACGTGGATGTTGTGTGGATGCACATGTATGTACATTATGTGTGCAGTTGATATTTTGAGTCTGTGGGTTTGTGTCTGTGGATTTACCAAGGACAGATGGAAAATATTTGGAAAAAAGCTGCATCTGCTTTGAGCATGTGTAGACTGTTAGGGCTGCTGTTTACATGGCATTCCTGTGAACACCTGCAGATTTTGGTACCCATGGAGTTCTGGAACTTGCCCCCAGGATGCCTGGAAATGATGGTTTTTCCTTTCTAGGACCTGTGTTTCTTTCCTACTATTGCCACCCCCTCCTTTACTCTGGCATCTGGTGGTTTATCATTGGGTTAGACCAAGCTGAATCTATTTTTGTGGTTGGACCTCTTGGTCTTCTGGAGACTCTTAGGGGGATCAGGATTACCCTGTGGGGATCTTTCTCCTTAACCTTCAGCTTGTGTCACTGGCAGGGGCCCCCAGGCAACTGTCTGAGGCTGTGGTATGGCAGGGGCCCTGGTGCCCTCTGCAGTAGGGAGGAAGGCCCAGTAGGACCTTTGTATTAAGGTGGATGGGAGGTGACTTTGGGCTCCCTGATTTTGCCAGGGTGCTCTCTGGTGCCCCAGGGGGTAAAGAACCTGTGTCCTGAACTCCAGTGGGTACAGTCTGCTTCAGAGGATGAGAAACACCTTGGTGAGAAGCAGCAATGACTGCTAGGCCCACAGGACACAGTGTATCCATTGATCAGGAGGAAATAGAAGTGCCCAGGAACATGAGGTCTGGGGAGGTGACTCCAGACTGGCCTTGAGGTCTGTCCTCGGGGTGCTTGCTACATGTAGAAGAGTGCTGTGAGCAAAGGGCAGATGGTGAAGACTCGGGTCCCTAGACCCCACCAGCTTGGGTTCAGATCTCAGTTGAATGACCCCATGCCAGTGATTAATCTCTCTGTACTTTCTCCAACCTTCAAGTGGGCATGGTACTTGGCTGTGAGTTAAGTAAATCAGTGCCTGGACAGGTGCATAGTTAGCAGTCAATGACAATGTGTGTCACTGTAATATACTGTAGGCTCTGTCCCCTAAAGCCGTAGCCACAGCTGCAAAAATGTCAAGTGTTTGAGTCATATCGGCAGGCCTAGGTGCTCGTTCCTGTGGACCAAGCAACCCTGCCAACCTTGGTAAATTACAGCCAGATGGCAGAGCCCTGGTCTTATTCATGCAGCCTTGGAGTTAGCCTAGGTGTGTCTGGTGGAGGCCATAATGCGGAAGCTAGGAGGGAAGCCAGATGGTTACCAGCCCTGTGGTGGCCAGTGGTCACCTCTCTGGATATATTTTATTGATAATTGGTCTAAAATGACACTTCTAAGAGAACCACATTAGCTACCTTGTTCCACTTTGTACAATGCAAGACTATTCCCGCATCAAACCCCAGGCCCCAAGATGGCACAGCTGTTGTCTTAAGATTGCCCACTGTACTGATAAACCTGAATCTTGGCCTGCTGGTCCCGAGAGCAGAGGGCAGAGCCACCCTGGGCTGTTCACATTTAGGAGAGAAACAGAAGTGATGGTTATTAACTATGATTTATGGAGCATTTGAAAGAAAGGATTTTTCTTTGTGGGAACCATGCGTTAGTCGGACACTTCAAATGGAGGAGGCAAGCCGGGGAATTGCTGTCATTGCTGAGGTCCTGAGGTGAGTGATTTCCCAACACTGGAGTGGATGGCTTCATTTACTGTTCATAGTCCAGTCATTTTTAGGCCCTTTTTTTTTAAAAAAAATATTTTTTTATTTATTACTTTTATTTTATGTGTATGAGTGTATTGCCTGCATGTAAGTAAGTGCACCCGTGTTGTGCAGTGCCTGTGGAGGACAGAAGAGGCTGTCAGATCCCCTGAACCTGGAATTACAGACAGTTATTAGCTGCTATGTGGGTGCTGGGATTCAAACCTGGGTCTTCTGCAAGAACAGCCAGTGTTCTTCACCGCTGAGCCATCTCTCCAGCCCCTTTTGATGCCCTTCTTAAGCTGTCCTGGGTCCCCTGGTTTCCAAGGAAGGCCTTCCCATGCCAGGCAGCATGGTTCTTCATTTTAGCATGCACCTGTTTGTGTTTCAGCATCATTGTTCATAACTAATTGCTGCAGGCTGAGTTTAATGACTTCCCACCCCCTTCCTTGGAAAAGAGAAAGTTCTATTTGTCAAAAAATGGTGTTGGACCAGTGTTGAGGGACAGAGGCCTCTGCTAATGGAAAGCTGCCCTTCTCAGGCTGGTCTGGTGGCTCCTGTACCAGCACACAGATCTACTGTTCCTGTTGTCCTTTCCAGGGTTTTGATAGCGTCTTTTGACTGCGTGGTGAGGCTGGGTCTACTAGTTAATAGCTCGGATTAGTTGTATTTATTCTGGGTCAGACATTTACATATTGTTGTTGTTAGCTCCAGGATGTAATCAATTAGGGTGACACATTTGCCTAAGGTGGCTTTGGGCCATCAGCCCCACCTTCCTGAAGGGAGGTGACCTCTATGCTGATCTAGGGCCCCCCACCCTCACCGCCAGGGTAGGGGAAGCCTTTGGCTCTGAGGCTGGCATTCCAATTTGGGCACTCATTGGAGCTCATCAGGAGATTTTGTATGATACCACCAGGTTCAAAGCCACTTCCTAGGGTCTACATACAGGCAGTGCACATGTTCCCTGTGAGTGAGTCCCTAAAGATCCAGCCATTGGTCCAAGAAACTGTAGTCCCAAATATTCATGTGTTCAGTTAGCTTGAATCCACAAGCCTTTACTCCTCATTGTTCACTTAAGGCTTGCGCACCAATGTTCCTGGATCTGGGCTTGGCTTTTTTCTCTTTTCTGGAGCTGGGGCTAGAACCCCAGGAGCCTATAGATGCTAAGTTAGTGCTCTACCACCCAGCCATAGCCCAGCCCTCCAGGCTTTTATCAGAGTAGCTTGGGGCAGAATCAGCAGACCCTGTCTAGCATTCTGGAATGTTCACTGTTGGTTTCCCATGTTCTTGCCCACAGTGTGTTCCTGGATGATTTTCTGGCAAGTGGGACAGGTGTGCAGGCACCCCAGCTGGAGTTCGAGCAGTTGCCCTTTAGCCACCCTCTGTTCATCCTGTTCTCCTCGGGCACAACAGGAGCACCCAAGTGCATGGTGCACTCAGCCGGGGTAGGTCTCCTGCTGTGCTGGGCTCAGGAAGGCTCCCAGCTGGTGATGGTATCCTTGTCATTCACACTGGTCCTGGAGACCTCACAGAGCTGCTTCTGTCTAAGTGAGATGCTTTAAGACCTGGCTGGATCTGGCCCGGGCCATGGAGGGTAGGCTTGCAGCTTTGGCCACTGTCACCATGGTGACTAGGATGGGGGTGTATGTGTGTATTGCCTGTGTGTATGTAAGTGCACAGGTTTCGTGCAGTGCCTGCAGAAGTCAGAAGAGGGCGTCACCTTCCCCTAGAACTGGAGTTATGGACAGTTGTTAGCTGCCATATGGGTGCTGGGAATAGAACCCAGGTCCTCTGCCAGAGCAATCAGTGTTCTTAACCACTGAGCCGTCTCTCCAGCTCTGAGGTAGATTTTTTTTTTCCAGAAGCCTTGTGGATGGGGTCAGATGATGTGCCCAAATTAGACATTTTCAGAAAAACAGATGTGTATAACTGCCATTATTACTTAGTGTTTTGCATAGTGATTGTCATTTTTTTAAAGGAGAGGAACATTGTGTATTAGCTATAAGGCAGTTTGCTTATAAAAGCATCAAGCCTGGTATATTTAAGAGTGGACAGTTAGAGCTATAAACTTCCCTCTTAGGACTGCTTTTAAATATGTCCCCGAGGTTGTGTTGTGTTATATTGTTCTTTTTTGTTGAATTCTAGGAATTCTTTTATTTCTTTCTTAATTTCTCCTTTGACCCACTCATTGTTTAGGAGTGTGTTATTCAATTGCCACAAGTTTGTGTAGTGACTAGGACTTCGTCCAGTGTTGATTTTGAGCTTTATTGCTTTGTGGTCTGATAGAATGCATAGAATTATTACTATGTTTTTGTATTTGTTGAGGTTTGTTTTGTGGTCCAGTATGTGGTCAGTTTTTGAAAAAGTTCCATGAGGTGCTAAGTAGAAAGTATATTCTTTGGTGTTTGTGTGGAATAATTGAAAGCTATCGGTTAGGTCCATTTGATGTATGGTATCATTTAATTCAGACATCTCTCTGTTTATTCTTTGTCCAGTTGACCTGTCTAATGGAGATAGTGGGGTATTGAAGTCCACTACTATTACTGAGTTGAGGTTAATCTATGTGTGAAAGTTCTGTAGTACTGATTTTATGGCATTGGGTGCTCCAGAGTTTGGTGCATGTATGTTCATGATTGTAATATCTTCTTGATTTTTTGTTCCTTTGATCAGAATAAAGTGGCCCTAATCTATTCTGATTCATTTTAAAGTCTATTTTGACAGATATTAGAATTACAGTGCCTTCTTTTTTCTTAGTACCATTCACTTGGTATATTTTTTTCCATCCTTTCACCTTAAGATAGTGCCTGTCCTTGAAAGTGAGATGAGTTTCTTGCAGACAACA